AAGACATACACCATTCGAAAGCTAATCGCCTGAGATTTTAGCATGGCAAGTTTCAGCTTTTTTGGAATCAAATTGCGCCGACACTGGGCGAAAAACTCTGATATTATACTAGACACCGGTTTAAAAAAAAGTGAATTAGTGATGACGGAGTGAATTGACAAGACATACACCATTCGAAATCTAATCGCCTGGGATTTTAGCGTGGCAAGTTTCAGCTCTTTTGCAATCAAACTACGCCGACACTGGGCGAAAAACTCTGATATTATACTAGACACCGGTTTTAAAAAAAGTGAATTAGTGATGACGGAGTGAATTGACAAGACATACACCATTCGAAAGCTCATCGCCTGAGATTTTAGCATGGCAAGTTTCAGCTCTTTTGCAATCAAATTACGCCGACACTGGGCGAAAAACTCTGATATTATACTAGACACCGGTTTAAAAAAAAGTGAATTAGTGATGACGGAGTGAATTGACAACACATACACCATTCGAAAGCTAATCGCCTGAGATTTTAGCATGGCAAGTTTCAGCTTTTTTGGAATCAAATTGCGCCGACACTGGGCGAAAAACTCTGATATTATACTAGACACCGGTTTTAAAAAAAGTGAATTAGTGACGACGGAGTGAATTGACAAGACATACACCATTCGAAAGCTAATCGCCTGAGATTTTAGCATGGCAAGTTTCAGCTTTTTTGGAATCAAATTGCGCCGACACTGGGCGAAAAACTCTGATATTATACTAGACACCGGTTTTAAAAAAAGTGAATTAGTGACGACGGAGTGAATTGACAAGACATACACCATTCGAAAGCTAATCGCCTGAGATTTTAGCATGGCAAGTTTCAGCTCTTTTGCAATCAAATTACGCCGACACTGGGCGAAAAACTCTGATATTATACTAGACACCGGTTTTAAAAAAAGTGAATTAGTGATGACGGAGTGAATTGACAACACATACACCATTCGAAAGCTAATCGCCTGAGATTTTAGCATGGCAAGTTTCAGCTCTTTTGCAATCAAATTACGCCGACACTGGGCGAAAAACTCTGATATTATACTAGACACCGGTTTTAAAAAAAGTGAATTAGTGATGACGGAGTGAATTGACAACACATACACCATTCGAAAGCTAATCGCCTGAGATTTTAGCATGGCAAGTTTCAGCTCTTTTGCAATCAAATTACGCCGACACTGGGCGAAAAACTCTGATATTATACTAGACACCGGTTTTAAAAAAAGTGAATTAGTGATGACGGAGTGAATTGACAAGACATACACCATTCGAAAGCTAATCGCCTGAGATTTTAGCATGGCAAGTTTCAGCTTTTTTGGAATCAAATTGCGCCGACACTGGGCGAAAAACTCTGATATTATACTAGACACCGGTTTTAAAAAAAGTGAATTAGTGACGACGGAGTGAATTGACAAGACATACACCATTCGAAAGCTAATCGCCTGAGATTTTAGCATGGCAAGTTTCAGCTCTTTTGCAATCAAATTACGCCGACACTGGGCGAAAAACTCTGATATTATACTAGACACCGGTTTAAAAAAAGTGAATTAGTGATGACGGAGTGAATTGACAAGACATACACCATTCGAAAGCTAATCGCCTGAGATTTTAGCATGGCAAGCTTCAGCTCTTTTGCAATCAAATTACGCCGACACTGGGCGAAAAACTCTGATATTATACTAGACACCGGTTTAAAAAAAAGTGAATTAGTGATGACGGAGTGAATTGACAAGACATACACCATTCGAAAGCTAATCGCCTGAGATTTTAGCATGGCAAGCTTCAGCTCTTTTGCAATCAAATTACGCCGACACTGGGCGAAAAACTCTGATATTATACTAGACACCGGTTTTAAAAAAAGTGAATTAGTGATGACGGAGTGAATTGACAAGACATACACCATTCGAAAGCTAATCGCCTGGGATTTTAGCGTGGCAAGTTTCAGCTCTTTTGCAATCAAACTACGCCGACACTGGGCGAAAAACTCTGATATTATACTAGACACCGGTTTTAAAAAAAGTGAATTAGTGATGACGGAGTGAATTGACGAGACATACACCATTCGAAAGCTAATCGCCTGAGATTTTAGCATGGCAAGTTTCAGCTCTTTTGCAATCAAATTACGCCGACACTGGGCGAAAAACTCTGATATTATACTAGTCCTTCCGGAAAGTCGCCGGACGGAAATTGGCGACATGCACTGTGCGAAAAAACTCAGGGTGCGGGCGACAGCTCGAAAAAGCTTATTGCACAGTGCAAAAAGCCAAAAATTGCACAGTGCAAAGTGAACTTTCGATTTCGCAGAGTGCATGTCGCCGATTTCCGTCCGGCGACTTTCCGGAAGGACTAGTACTAGACACCGGTTTAAAAAAAGTGAATTAGTGATGACGGAGTGAATTGACAACACATACACCATTCGAAAGCTAATCGCCTGAGATTTTAGCATGGCAAGTTTCAGCTCTTTTGCAATCAAATTACGCCGACACTGGGCGAAAAACTCTGATATTATACTAGACACCGGTTTAAAAAAAGTGAATTAGTGATGACGGAGTGAATTGACAAGACATACACCATTCGAAAGCTAATCGCCTGAGATTTTAGCATGGCAAGTTTCAGCTTTTTTGGAATCAAATTGCGCCGACACTGGGCGAAAAACTCTGATATTATACTAGACACCGGTTTTAAAAAAAGTGAATTAGTGATGACGGAGTGAATTGACAAGACATACACCATTCGAAAGCTAATCGCCTGAGATTTTAGCATGGCAAGTTTCAGCTTTTTTGGAATCAAATTACGCCGACACTGGGCGAAAAACTCTGATATTATACTAGACACCGGTTTTAAAAAAAGTGAATTAGTGATGACGGAGTGAATTGACAAGACATACACCATTCGAAAGCTAATCGCCTGAGATTTTAGCATGGCAAGTTTCAGCTTTTTTGGAATCAAATTGCGCCGACACTGGGCGAAAAACTCTGATATTATACTAGACACCGGTTTTAAAAAAAGTGAATTAGTGACGACGGAGTGAATTGACAAGACATACACCATTCGAAAGCTAATCGCCTGAGATTTTAGCATGGCAAGTTTCAGCTCTTTTGCAATCAAATTACGCCGACACTGGGCGAAAAACTCTGATATTATACTAGACACCGGTTTTAAAAAAAGTGAATTAGTGATGACGGAGTGAATTGACAACACATACACCATTCGAAAGCTAATCGCCTGAGATTTTGTATTGATCAAATAATGGAAGCCGTGCGGAAACCACGTGAACACCGCCGCTACACTACGAATGGAGTGGTCAAAGGAGACCACGCCCAAGGAGGTCAAGATTAATGACCACGCGCATTACGTGCGTCAAACAATGAAGAAATAATGATCGATGGCTTCCGGATTACGAAACCGGATGAGGACACAAAGTGACTCAGCAGAAACTGAGTTCATAAAAACCAAGTTTGGAATGTGTGCAACCCAAACTACAACAACCCAATCTACTATATAAGCCGCCCTCGAAATCATTCGAGGAAGCGCTTCCACTCTCTTAATGCTCTTGTAATTCTATTGTAATTATTCTCTAATAAACTTTATCTATATTCTCTAAGTCGACCATTACAAAAAGTGGAGGTCCGCACCTCGAACTCCACCGTAGTATTCATTGTCTGAAAGCCCAAGGGTCAGCACCTTAATTAATTCCCACTTGTGGGGGTCGCTGGCTTAATTAATTCCTTGGCAAAAGTGTTGTACAACCCAAAATTTGGCCAAAAAGAAAGTCACTGTCGCCGCCCTTCCGCTACATAATTCACCGTGGTCCAAACCAGGAGCCAAACACAGGCTAAGGCCGTCCCCAGCTACCTACGCCCAACAGCAAGTTCAAGACGCCGTTCAGACCTCGATAATCAACCACCCGCAAAAACCGTAACCAAGCCAGTAGCACGACGAATAAAGAAGACAACCCCTCCCAAAACCGTTGTCCCCAGAAGAACCAAATCTACCTCTGCATTTAAACAAGCCGCCGAAGGAAACCATATTTTATCAGACGGAGCCGATTCATCCCCAGAAGATCTTGCGGATCCGGAAGATTTAAATAGCTACCTTGAGAAAGCAGACGTCGTAGAACCTGAAAAGTCAAAACATTACGTTGAAAGAAACGCAGACGCGCCATCAACTTCCCACGCGCCAAATCTACAGAAGAATACTCCCGCGGAACCAGCCAGTTCAAACCAAGAAAATCCCAGAAATAGTGACGAAGGGCGACAGCCGGCAAAACCAAACAGATCCCCAGGTACCCAAACTAACCACCCATTTTCTCTATCGCGATTATATAATTCATTAGCAGCTACATTTACAAAATCCAAAAAATCAAAAACTCCCGATAGCGGCTCTACTAAAACTTCCGCTACAGATTACTCTTCCCTTTCAAATTCTCCAGAAAATAATTCAGAAAATCCTAAAGAAAAAACCCCTCACCGATTTTATATCCCTACTCCTAGGCGAATAACCCAAATTTTCCAAACAGATTCAGATATGTCAAATAATTCACCACTAGATTTATCCGCATTAGCTAATCAATTAGGCGCCATGTCTTTAGCTGCGCATATAGCACCACCTACGTATACTGGAAGAACTGATCTTTCCAAGAATTCATACGAGAATTAAATAGAGTAGCCACAGCCCTCAAATGGACCGATGAGGCATACTTAACCACTTTACCTGCTCTTCTCAGGGGTGAAGCAGCTATTATTTACGAAAGCATACCACCTGCTGAACGAAAAAAAGAATTAGGATTAAAACCCATTCTAAATCTCCTAGCCAAAAAATTTGCAAATACCCAACTAACTTCAAACTTCCGACGCCGCGCGCTAGCTCGCAAACAACGCGCAAACGAATCCCCCTCCGAATTCGCTCAAGCCATTAGGGACCTTGTCGAATTAGGATATCCAGAAAGCACATCTTATACCGACGCGTTCAAGGAAGAAATTATGGTAGATATCTTCCTCTCTGGCCTATTACCAGTCGTCAAAGCCAAACTACTACGCAAAGAACGCCCAAAAACCCTCCAGAAAGCTTTGGACATGGCCATATCCGAAATTGAACTTCAAGAAGAATTGAAACGTGATGGACTCATCAACGCAGGTGGAAATATCTCCATCAACCAGTTACAACCCGTCCAACCACCTCATGCCCAAATGAACCGTTTCAACAAAAATTGGCAGCCACGCCGCCCATTCAACCGCTTCTTCTCAAAATTCAACAACAACAACCGACCATCCAAGCCCTTCTTCTTCAACAACAACACAAGCCGTTCCAATTATCAACCCCGTGCCAACTACCGTCCACAATCCAATAATCAAAACTCCAATATCAGGAACCGGCCCAATCACCCTCGACCAACCCGTTATGGCATTAACGCTTTGTTGCCCTCGCTGACAATCGTTGCCCTGGCTGCTCTATCCGTACTACCGCTGACTATGGCCCAGTTTCAATTCTGCCCTTTACGCAAAGGAGCTTTATATCTCGCTCCTCCGAGAAAAGAAGATTGCACAGTAGCCGATGACACTCCAGTACGAAAAACAAACGTCGAAATTTTTGTACCACAACTGGGACCCCATTACCAAGAAGCTTATCACTGCCAGGCTAAGAAAGTAACACGATGCACCTTTTCAATTGGTATCGCTGCATTTGAAAGACTGACACCAAGTCAACATCACAGTTTAACAGCCAACGAATGTTGGACCTTGATCCAACGAATGACGCTATACAACCAAACACTTTATCGACTCGACGAAAATGTTTGGCAATCCTCAGGATTCATCAACGCCCAATACGCAGTTTTTGGAAGTCGTTGCCGCGAAAAACTTCAATTTACGGTAACAAAAGGACTAATACATTCCAGAAACGGGATAACTGTATCATCCGAAATCGACAATCTACATAACTGCCATTACAACGATGCTCTCTGTGTTACGAACCAAGGTACAACAGTTTGGAATGTGACGGACACAAAAGATTTCTGCTCACATACTTCAGCTGGACATTTTCTGGCTTTAGCTTCCGACACTTATGTGATAATCCAAAGACTTCAAGCTGCCTTCGTATTTAACAAAACAGACCCAGACGGTCACGATTCGTTTTGCTACCCTATTAACACCTATCGAATGGAAAATGACGTGTTCATCTCCTTTCACCCAGAATACCCAACCGCTTCGAAGCCCAGAACAAAACGATTCGAATTCAAGGAACAACCTCGAATCGGAGACACAAAACCAGCATCAACCACTCCAAGGACTACCCAAGGAACTGCCCCAACATCACCCTCATCAGCGATCGAAACCCGAATTCAGGATCGGAATCGTTATATAATTCCCCCAGTACAAAAAGCCCAGGGACCTTACTACCCCATCAACGTCCAAACGCGATCATCAACAAATAATACGTCAAAAACCACCAAAAATCCGCAAAGAAGTGACGAAACTCCGAAAGTAGCTACCTCAACCATAACGACACCTATTTCCATCATGGGAAAAACCACCATGGCACCAATGACACCTACCTCCCTTCCGCATACTACTCGGAGACAAAATTCTCCGATTGAAGCCCAAACCTTTCCCTCACCGGCACCTCCTTCCGAAGCAAATGACCCCACGAATGTAAAACTGGAATACCTCAGCCTCACGGTAACTAAACTTATCCGCGACGAGTACGCAAACCTATTTGCTCACATCTGTTCCATTCACAATCAAAATGTGGCCATCATCACAGCTTTGTCAAAACTTAACCCAACTTTAGCCGTCAGATCTTGGCTTAACAGAGATGACGTTATCGCTTACCATTCCGGCGAAGCATTCGCTGTCTCTACTTGCGAACCAATCAAACCTGACATTGTTCATTGGAATCACAAATACGGAGATTCGTGCTGGACCGATGTCCCAGTGGAATATAACAACAAAACATATTTCGCACCTCTCGGAACCTACGAATTGCAATACAACTCTACAAAAATACCCTGTGATCAAATTCCTGTCAATGTGTACCGACAAGCCGATGGCACCTGGACTTCTCCCATCGGACACGCCAATGTGATGCAAATCGACCGAGCGCTAACTCAACTAAACTTCGATACCTTACCTACCTTTTCATCCGCATCAATCTACCAACCACAATGGACCAGATTAGTCGTTTCTACCTCCATTCTAAACTCCTACGCACACAAAATTAACCGACTGGAAACTACACTACAAGCTACTCAAGAAGGTGATACCCCAGAACTCAAACTTGTATCCGACGGAAGTAGTGAAGGAGCAACTTCATCTCTATTAACCATGGAAGAAGTAAAAGGATGGAAAGACGCCGTGATAAACTTTTTCTTCCCAAATTTGGATACTTGGGAAGAAATCGCAGTCGCTGTTCTATCAGTATTAGCCCTTGGAGTAGCACTATTCCTCTACGGTCCTTACATCAGCACTTTTCTCAGACATGTTAAACGACACCAAAAATACAACCCAGTCAACGCTGTAGAAATGCAAGATGTATCACCTTCAGCACCATGCCTCGACCATGTTTACGTACCTCCAGTTTACTCGATCCAAACAGGAACTCAACCCAAGATTATCGTCCACATCAAAGGCAAACCCGTCGCCGCATTAGTGGATAGCGGCTCAGCCATTACGTACTGCCGACAATCGCTTGCCAGGAAGCTGCAACTTCCCATCTCTCCCCTCCAAGCGATGGCTACTGCACGTGCCGTGAATGACACTACCTTCAAATTTCTTGGTCAAGTACAAGCTGACGTTTCATTCCGACAGCTAAAACTACAGATACACATGTTGGTATCTGAAGACAACCACTGCCCGTCAGAATTGTTGATTGGCACAGATACACTTCGGAAAGTTTGTGCCCAAGGACACTCCGTGAATTTCGATCTAAACCAAAACACCATCAACATCGGAGACGAAATATTTCCGTTCGTATTCAACCTGGAGGCAGACCTCACTACGGAACCATGCAAAATTGTACTTAATCAGGACGAACACCTTCCACCACGCTCAGATAACTTTATCGTGGCAAAAACACTCACGACACCTCCAGGAAGGACAGTGCTCATTGAAGATGCCATCACAACTAACGAAATGGTCAAAACAGCAGCAGTATTATGTCGTTTGGCAACTCCCAACTACGTCCCCGTAACAATTATAAACGCTGGTTACGCCCCAGTAACCCTACGGAAGAATCAAACAATTGGAACATTATCCGAAGTGCCACAACAACAATCCTTTCCAATAATGTTCGTACAATCCCCTCAGCAAATCCACGTACCACCTGAACTGGACTACATTGAAACTCTTCCCCCGGCCGGAAAACAGCAAAAGCAACAATTGAACCCGGATTTGGAAGATTCGATATTATCCGAAAATGCAAAGAAGTACCTAACCCGGTTGATTCATCGTTACTCTGATGTCTTCGTTGGAACTGATGGAAAAATTGGTCAATATACCGGACCTATTCAACACGAAATCGAGCTCATCAACCCGAAGGACATCCCTCGCAAAAGACCCTATCGCGTCCCTCTTCCACTCCGATCCGAAATTGAACGACAACTCAAACAATTATTGGACCAAAAAATCATCGAAAAATCATCATCCCCCTTCGCATCACCAATCGTAATGGTAAAGAAGAAAGACGGCACCTACCGTCTTTGCGTCGATTACCGCCAACTTAACCAAAACACCGTTAAACGTGTTCAACTCCTACCCAACATCCAAGAGATCCTTGATCTTACAGCCGGCCACAAGTATTTCTCAACCTTGGATTGCTCTCAAGCCTTCCACCAAGTTACGCTAGCTCCGGGAAGCGTTGAGAAGACCGCATTCATCACGCATATGGGATTATTTCAATACCTACGAATGCCTTTTGGATTAACAGCCGCGCCCGCAACAATGCAAAGAATCATGGATCACCTAAAAGGAGAACTCACAGCTAAGATTTTTATTTATCTTGATGATCTATGCGTCTCCAGTACAGACGAAAATGACCATATTAGGGACCTCGAGGAAGTTTTTAGCGCACTAAGATCAAAAGGACTCAAACTATCACTTAAAAAATGCTTCTTCGGCAAAAACGAAGTAAAATATCTAGGATTTTTACTTAGCGAAAAAGGGATACGACCGGACCCTAAAAATGTAGAAACCGTTGCAAAATTTCAAATTCCAAAAACACTAACAGAACTAAGAAGCTTTATCGGAGCCGTTAGCTATTTTCGCCGTTTTATCGAAGGTTTCGCCACTATAATGGCACCCCTTTACGAATTAACAAAACAAGGAGACTCTATTCCCAGTCGCTGGACCGAATCCCAAGACAAAGCATTTAAAGCTGTAATAGAAGCCCTTAAGAAAGCTCCAACGCTAGCCCCACCACGCCAAGATAGGCCTTACATAATAGAAACAGATGCCTCGGCATGGGGTTTAGAAGCAACATTACTACAGAAAAATGACCATGGCTTTCCAAGACCCATAGCCTACGCTAGCCGGAAACTAAACAAATTTGAAGCCAAATATCCCGCCGTAGAAACCGAAGCATTAGCAATAGTATTCGGACTAAAAGAATTTAGGCCATATATTGAAGGTCATATTCCCACCCTTATCCGAACAGATAACAGCGCACTCACATCACTTTTAAAACGCAAAGATTTACAGGGAAGATTAGCTAAATATCAACTAGCCATACAACAGTATAATATTCTAATAGAACATAGATCCGGAAAATCAAATTCTTTTGCTGACTACGTTAGCCGTTACCAACCTGTCTCTTTTGTAAATATATTTTACTTAGACCAAAATACGGTTAAAAACGCTCAACAAACCGATCCCACCTGCATAGAAATTGCGAACGCAATTAACAACAAAATTTTTCCGGAACTTACTAAAGGACGTCTTAAATTATTCAAACTAAAACTCAAAAATTTTCGATTCATTGATGATGTTTTGCATCATTACAAAAAAGGGATTTCCCGCATTTACATCCCCAAAGAATTAAGGACAAAAATATTAACTGATTTCCACGATGATCACCTTCAAGGAGCTCATCAAGGTCTACAGAAAAGTATTGCAAACCTCAAAAAACGCGTATTCTGGGACGGAATGGTCCGCGACATGAAACAGTACATCAGCTCTTGTCCCCAATGCCAAATCAACAAAGTGAACCCCGGAGACAAGACCTTGGCTAAAACCATCCCCTTTCAACCAGCACTATTCCCCTTTCACCGCGTTCATATCGACATCAAAGGACCACTTCCGCAAACTGAAAATGGGAACCGCTACATTTTGGTTTCTATTGACGCGCACACCAAATACGTCATGGTCTCCCCGATGCCAAACCAAGAAACTAAGACTGTCATCAACGCATTCATGGAAAGCGTAATCACAAAATTCGGAATTATGGAACTCTTATATTCCGATAATGGCAGCCAGTTCACCGACCAACTTTTCGTGCAGCTAGGAAAACACTATGGATTTAAACATCAATATTCCCCGGTAAACACGCCGCATCTGAATGGTCAAGTGGAAAGGGTAAATAGAACACTAGCCGTCATGCTCAAAACGGCAGCCGAGGACTACAGTACCCATTGGGACCTACACTTATCAAAAATGGTCTTTGTATACAACACATCTCCGCATGCTACCACCAAGGAGACCCCGTTCTTCCTAATGCACGGATTTGACCCACTACTCCCAAGTGACTTACTTCTTCGCACCTTTTCGCAACGCCGCACAACTTATGGTGAAACAGACGTGGCCATGCAACATATTATGGCCATGAACAACGCCTATGAGCAAGCCGCGCTACAAACCCACCGAACCGACGATCAGAATGACGACTCCGCCCCAATACCATCAGCTCCTTCCTCGCAGAAAACAATCACAAAAAATGATCTAATTTTGATCATCGACCCCGCCAAAAAATCGAAGTTCCAACCCACATGGATCGGACCCTTCCGCGTTATGGAAAGTGGCCGATCAATCATAAAAGCGCGACTCCTAAGTGACCCAAGAAAAATTACAACTACTCACGTGAACAAATGTAAGCTATATTTTACTCGTGATTCGAGCCCCATCCTAGGGCAAGAAAGCAGCATTTAAGCACTATGCCTATTATGCAAATATTTTTTTATATATAGCTACATAGTTAAGAAAAGAAATAGAAAATATAAAAAATATAATCGTAACAAAAAACAATAGTATTAAAATTCTTTTTCACCTCACAAAAACTATTATAATCCTAGTACCAAATTCTATATTCCCCATTTATCAGAGATATAATTCAAAAAAAGAAAAAAAAAATAAATAAAAGAGGGAATACCAACAGCACGATATAAGGCGTGTGCGTTAGTAATTCGCGGCGAAATACAGACAGAAACTCGATTTCCTGTCTGGGTGGCACCCAGACAAGAAATGCGTATTTTTGTCTAAAATTGCGCAACATTGCGCAATATTGCGCAATTTTCTGCTCTCTCCCCGTGGAGATTTTTTTCTTTTTTTCTCTACCCAGACAGGATTCGCCTTATCCTGTCTGTGAGCCTACCAGACAGGAAATCGAGTTTTTGTCTGTATTTCGCCGCGAATTACTAACGCACACGCCTTATATAGAAATAAACCCCACCTTTTCTAAAAACAACGTCTTACTACGTAATTGAACCATCGTTCCCAAATTTCCCTTTTTCTCATTATAATTCTTTTTCATAAATTTAAGAATTTGATTGTGTGTCACACTTACCATATTATTCACAAACCGAAATTTTTTCTCCTCTGCCTTCCACTCTTTCCCACCTTTAAAACTTTCTCCCCATCCCATATCACAATGAAATCATCTTTCTCCAAAATTTCCCCCCCCTAAGAAAAGGCCTTGCCAAAAATCTTATTTTATTCTCAAAAATTCTTGTCCAAAAAAGATTCAAAGGTTGCTCACTTCCAAACTCCGATCAATCAGTTCTTCTGATCTCCGTGGCTCCCTGACCGGCTGGACACGCCCCCAGTAAACATACAACGCACCAGCACTAACTCCATCGACAGCATTTGGCCCCATTACTGTAACCAACACAACAAGAACGAACCAGACCCCAGAAGACAACATTGAAGAATATCCCACGGATAAAGTCGGAACGCAGAGACGCGTTCATCTCTTGGCCGTGATATTGTAATGATCAAATAATGGAAGCCGTGCGGAAACCACGTGAACACCGCCGCTACACTACGAATGGAGTGGTCAAAGGAGACCACGCCCAAGGAGGTCAAGATTAATGACCACGCGCATTACGTGCGTCAAACAATGAAGAAATAATGATCGATGGCTTCCGGATTACGAAACCGGATGAGGACACAAAGTGACTCAGCAGAAACTGAGTTCATAAAAACCAAGTTTGGAATGTGTGCAACCCAAACTACAACAACCCAATCTACTATATAAGCCGCCCTCGAAATCATTCGAGGAAGCGCTTCCACTCTCTTAATGCTCTTGTAATTCTATTGTAATTATTCTCTAATAAACTTTATCTATATTCTCTAAGTCGACCATTACAATTTTAGCATGGCAAGTTTCAGCTCTTTTGCAATCAAATTACGCCGACACTGGGCGAAAAACTCTGATATTATACTAGACACCGGTTTTAAAAAAAGTGAATTAGTGATGACGGAGTGAATTGACAACACATACACCATTCGAAAGCTAATCGCCTGAGATTTTAGCATGGCAAGTTTCAGCTCTTTTGCAATCAAATTACGCCGACACTGGGCGAAAAACTCTGATATTATACTAGACACCGGTTTTAAAAAAAGTGAATTAGTGACGACGGAGTGAATTGACAAGACATACACCATTCGAAAGCTAATCGCCTGAGATTTTAGCATGGCAAGTTTCAGCTCTTTTGCAATCAAATTACGCCGACACTGGGCGAAAAACTCTGATATTATACTAGACACCGGTTTAAAAAAAAGTGAATTAGTGATGACGGACTGAATTGACAAGACATACACCATTCGAAAGCTAATCGCCTGAGATTTTAGCATGGCAAGTTTCAGCTCTTTTGCAATCAAATTACGCCGACACTGGGCGAAAAACTCTGATATTATACTAGACACCGGTTTAAAAAAAAGTGAATTAGTGATGACGGAGTGAATTGACAAGACATACACCATTCGAAAGCTAATCGCCTGAGATTTTAGCATGGCAAGTTTCAGCTCTTTTGCAATCAAATTACGCCGACACTGGGCGAAAAACTCTGATATTATACTAGACACCGGTTTAAAAAAAAGTGAATTAGTGATGACGGAGTGAATTGACAAGACATACACCATTCGAAAGCTAATCGCCTGAGATTTTAGCATGGCTAGTTTCAGCTCTTTTGCAATCAAATTACGCCGACACTGGGCGAAAAACTCTGATATTATACTAGACACCGGTTTAAAAAAAAGTGAATTAGTGATGACGGACTGAATTGACAAGACATACACCATTCGAAAGCTAATCGCCTGAGATTTTAGCATGGCAAGTTTCAGCTCTTTTGCAATCAAATTACGCCGACACTGGGCGAAAAACTCTGATATTATACTAGACACCGGTTTAAAAAAAAGTGAATTAGTGATGACGGAGTGAATTGACAAGACATACACCATTCGAAAGCTAATCGCCTGAGATTTTAGCATGGCAAGTTTCAGCTCTTTTGCAATCAAATTACGCCGACACTGGGCGAAAAACTCTGATATTATACTAGACACCGGTTTAAAAAAAGTGAATTAGTGATGACGGAGTGAATTGACAAGACATACACCATTCGAAAGCTAATCGCCTGAGATTTTAGCATGGCTAGTTTCAGCTCTTTTGCAATCAAATTACGCCGACACTGGGCGAAAAACTCTGATATTATACTAGACACCGGTTTAAAAAAAAGTGAATTAGTGATGACGGAGTGAATTGACAAGACATACACCATTCGAAAGCTAATCGCCTGAGATTTTAGCATGGCAAGTTTCAGCTCTTTTGCAATCAAATTACGCCGACACTGGGCGAAAAACTCTGATATTATACTAGACACCGGTTTAAAAAAAGTGAATTAGTGATGACGGAGTGAATTGACAAGACATACACCATTCGAAAGCTAATCGCCTGAGATTTTAGCATGGCAAGTTTCAGCTCTTTTGCAATCAAATTACGCCGACACTGGGCGAAAAACTCTGATATTATACTAGACACCGGTTTAAAAAAAAGTGAATTAGTGATGACGGAGTGAATTGACAAGACATACACCATTCGAAAGCTAATCGCCTGAGATTTTAGCATGGCAAGTTTCAGCTCTTTTGCAATCAAATTACGCCGACACTGGGCGAAAAACTCTGATATTATACTAGACACCGGTTTAAAAAAAAGTGAATTAGTGATGACGGAGTGAATTGACAAGACATACACCATTCGAAAGCTAATCGCCTGAGATTTTAGCATGGCTAGTTTCAGCTCTTTTGCAATCAAATTACGCCGACACTGGGCGAAAAACTCTGATATTATACTAGACACCGGTTTAAAAAAAAGTGAATTAGTGATGACGGACTGAATTGACAAGACATACACCATTCGAAAGCTAATCGCCTGAGATTTTAGCATGGCAAGTTTCAGCTCTTTTGCAATCAAATTACGCCGACACTGGGCGAAAAACTCTGATATTATACTAGACACCGGTTTAAAAAAAAGTGAATTAGTGATGACGGAGTGAATTGACAAGACATACACCATTCGAAAGCTAATCGCCTGAGATTTTAGCATGGCAAGTTTCAGCTCTTTTGCAATCAAATTACGCCGACACTGGGCGAAAAACTCTGATATTATACTAGACACCGGTTTAAAAAAAAGTGAATTAGTGATGACGGAGTGAATTGACAAGACATACACCATTCGAAAGCTAATCGCCTGAGATTTTAGCATGGCTAGTTTCAGCTCTTTTGCAATCAAATTACGCCGACACTGGGCGAAAAACTCTGATATTATACTAGACACCGGTTTAAAAAAAAGTGAATTAGTGATGACGGAGTGAATTGACAAGACATACACCATTCGAAAGCTAATCGCCTGAGATTTTAGCATGGCAAGTTTCAGCTCTTTTGCAATCAAATTACGCCGACACTGGGCGAAAAACTCTGATATTATACTAGACACCGGTTTAAAAAAAAGTGAATTAGTGATGACGGAGTGAATTGACAAGACATACACCATTCGAAAGCTAATCGCCTGAGATTTTAGCATGGCAAGTTTCAGCTCTTTTGCAATCAAATTACGCCGACACTGGGCGAAAAACTCTTATATTATACTAGACACCGGTTTTAAAAAAAGTGAATTAGTGATGACGGAGTGAAATGACAAGACATACACCATTCGAAAGCTAATCGCCTGAGATTTTAGCATGGCAAGTTTCAGCTTTTTTGGAATCAAATTGCGCCGACACTGGGCGAAAAACTCTGATATTATACTAGACACCGGTTTAAAAAAAGTGAATTAGTGATGACGGAGTGAATTGACAAGACATACACCATTCGAAAGCTAATCGCCTGAGATTTTAGCATGGCTAGTTTCAGCTCTTTTGCAATCAAATTACGCCGACACTGGGCGAAAAACTCTGATATTATACTAGACACCGGTTTTAAAAAAAGTGAATTAGTGATGACGGAGTGAATTGACAACACATACACCATTCGAAAGCTAATCGCCTGAGATTTTAGCATGGCAAGTTTCAGCTCTTTTGCAATCAAATTACGCCGACACTGGGCGAAAAACTCTGATATTATACTAGACACCGGTTTTAAAAAAAGTGAATTAGTGACGACGGAGTGAATTGACAAGACATACACCATTCGAAAGCTAATCGCCTGAGATTTTAGCGTGGCAAGTTTCAGCTCTTTTGCAATCAAATTACGCCGACACTGGGCGAAAAACTCTGATATTATACTAGACACCGGTTTAAAAAAAAGTGAATTAGTGATGACGGAGTGAATTGACAAGACATACACCATTCGAAAGCTAATCGCCTGAGATTTTAGCATGGCAAGTTTCAGCTCTTTTGCAATCAAATTACGCCGACACTGGGCGAAAAACTCTGATA